TCTGGAAGATCCTCTATCACCCTTTCCTGGGGTAGCAAATGTTGAAAAATTAACTACTTTCCCCAAGCCTCCTAGATTTTGGTTTTGCTCAGTTGAGTTATTGTATTGATATCTTGGAGGAGGCATTGGGTTTGCAGGATATCCCATACCAGCAGGGGACTTAACATTAGGTTGGGGGGCAGCGGAAACAAGATGGGGGGTATCAGAAGCACCAAACTTAGCAAACTTTTCTTCTTCAAATTGTTTGGTTGGCTTGTCAATCTCAATTGGATCACAGGAAGGCAATTCAGAAAAAAAATGGGAACAGAACTCTTTGTCAAAGGAATCTTCAAGAGGGTAGTGGATCAAGGAACCTGTGTCTTCATCTTGAGTCAAATTACTTGAGTTCCCATATAATCCACCAACCCTTACGGTTTGCTGATCTTGTTTTTGAACTTGTCTGGCCTCATTAGGAGGATTAGGACTCGGTTTTCGATGCGTTTGGCTGTGCAAAACTACCTGTCCATTTCTCCACAAGAGCTCTACTAGTTCATGGTTTGGCCTGTATAATTTGCCACCCAATCAAGATAGTTCAACAAGTTCAAAATGCATAATATTTTATTCAGGCAAGTAATCTGGCAATAACTTTGAGAATTATAGAGAGTACAGACCCCATGGGTTTCTTTTGGTTGGTCAAAGGGAGATCAGCCTCAAAGTTCCAATCAGGAATGCAAGAATTCATGTCTCAGCAGACAGGATTTCTGTAAAACAAAGCAAGAAGACAACTTTAGATTATTGTAAATGATTGATAACCATATTTAGAAGCTCTGATACCTCATCTAGAAGAAACCAACTTAAAATACTAATTGATTAGTTGGTCAACTGACTAACTAATTTAATAATCAAACAATAACCAACAAAAGATGTTGCAGAGCATACCAAATATGGAACTGTACTAAGAAATGGAATAAGAGAAGCAATGAAATGAAGCCCCAATATATTGTTTACCACACCACATGCTCTTTACAGATTAAAAAATTAAGAGCCCACCCAAATTAGACTCTTCATTATTAAAAAAATTGAGAGTCACATGGAACCCAGAATAAAATAATCCCACCATGGAAATAGGCAAATACTGGAGAAAAATCAACTAAAAAGCTGCACTTGAAAATAGAGACATCATTGACCACTTAAGGGAAAATACTAATAAGAAGTGAAAAAAAGAAAAAAGAAAGAAAGAGAAAGAATGATATGACATGAAAAATTTCTGGTTTTTTTAAGAAAAAGAAACCCAAAAGAAAAAAATCTTCAAATGAAGAGAAAGTTAAAAACCCAGAAGGGCAATGAGTACTAAAATAGCACCCAGAAGCAGAAAATGGAGTAGAAAAGCAACCCTGATCAAAAGCCAAGCTCTGACTTCTCTTGAAGTGGAAACTGAAAGCCTACAGTGTATAAATTGCTGTTTTGGAAAGCACCACAAGTCTCTCACTCTGTGTGTGTGTGTTTGTGTGTGAGCTGAGCTAGAAGAGCAACTAGAAACTGGGAAGGGAATGGACCAAAGACTCTTTTAACAACAGTTAGAAGGACAGGGACTTGTCACAGAGGTCGGAGCAGAGATTGGCTAGTAACACAGAGCTTCAAATTTCTATAGAAACCCATGATAGCATTCCACGTGGCAGTTGCCCAATTGTGCCATGCTGTAAACTTGTGGCTGGGTCAGCTTTGAGTGCTGTAGAATGTAGATGGTTAGAATGGGATGACTGGGGGTTTGGTTATTTTAAGGCAACCAAATCTAGAACTTGCAGCACATTCAATCTGTGCTATCTGATAATGTATGAGGGTGGTGCCACGTTTTCATCGGCACTGCACATTTTGTTGGACAATGATGAGGGACAAGATTGTCAGAGGTCAAGTTTTTTGACAGCTTGGCCAAGTTGGGAATTTTTTATGTCATGCTTAGATTTTTGGATGATGCAATGCAAATTTGCACTTATCTTATTCTTATCTATATGAAAGTTATAAAGTCACTTTCTTCAATTTCAGATGTCTAAAAGTTGGAAAGACAACAATTACTCAAAACATAGATAGGTCTAATTGAAAGAAGGATTAATCTTCTCCCTATTGTGTTTTAGGTAAATATGAAGAAAAAAATTGTCAAAACTTGTATGATTGTGCTTGGAAAATATACAACTGAGAAGAATATATAGAAAAGATGGTATCTTCAAAGCTTGTTCCAATTGGGATGCAGTGATGATAGGAATTGGACTTGGCATGGATTTGGACAGATACAAAGTAAAAAGCACATAAAAGAAGCATGGACCAGGTTTACTCCAATAGTTCACTTGGAAGGAATCTTCCCCAACTGCAAGCCAACACTTGCCTCATGCGTTGGTGGTAGCAGACTTATTGATCCAAGCTAGAATTTACTGCAGGATGGTGGCCTACAGAATTTGCTAGCAGGTCCTGTTTTATACTTCCTGTTAATCATGATAAGAACTAAAGTGGGTAAAGTCCTCCACTTGAAGGTGTTTTCTGTCCCAAGTTGATTGAGAGATTGTTCTCTGTCATGGTCTTCTTGAAGCACCGGCTGCTGCAGTTTTTATGGGTACTCCTCATCTTTAACTCCGAGTGAGCTGGTTTTCAAGATGTGAATTTTTTTTTACTCGATGTCGGGCAATGTTTATGCCGGATTGATTATGTTTTCTAGATTTTCTGTATTGCAAGAACCTTCCTTTGGGGTTGTGTTCCTCCTGTATGTATTCTGTTTTTGCCCTCTCTATCAATGAATTTGACTGTTTCACCAAAAACAAAAAGAACAAAAACAAAAAAGCGAGAGAGAGAGAGAGAGAGAGAGAGAACTAAAGTGGGTCTATCTCCACCTTTAACAACTTAGCTAAATGGAAAGCCGTCTAAATGAGAAGCTGTTGAATTGTTTGAGCAATTCTTGGCATTAATTTGGAGGTTAGTTTGTTGGCTGGAGAGACTAGGATCCTGTGCAATGTATAAGGGGGTAGGCTTCATGGGTTGCGCTTGAGGAGCTAAACTTAGTGTTTATGAACTTTAAATTCATGTCATTTTGGTTTTATAGAGAATATAGCCTCTTAGCCAGCAACGGATAGGGCTGCTATCTAGTATGAACCTTTGGCTTTGATTTCTTGTCGTTTTCAGTACAGGGGCGGCAAGGCCAACCTAATAACTACTGTCTTAATATCAAATTGGGTCCACGGTTGTGTCTATAGCTGGAGAAGGCAATTACATAGTCAACAAGGTACCAAAATGCATTTATTCCTCTTCCAATCCAATTAATATGTTTGGAATTATGGGCTTATTTTCCGTGCACAAATAAAGAAAGAAATTATAAATTGGAGGGAAAAAAAAAGGGACGAACTAACCTGCAAACGGATCAAATATACCTTAATCCAAATCCAAATTCTAATCCATTTATAATCGGATTATTGGATTGCACCTATCAATCCATATCCGTTACGCATCGGATTTGGATCAGATTGAATTATTATCAGATTTATTTGAGATGTACAAGAAATCAAAATTTCATTAGTAGCCTCGTTCTTGTTATTTATCTACTTTTTACATCAAATTTTGATATTTTATCATAAAATTTAGTTTTAAGTATATTCTTACCAAGTGCATATAAAACCAAAATTACTCATTTACACAGATAAAATATTAATATAAAGCATAGAAAAACTAAATTATACTTCATACTAAGTCGGATCGGATCAACTATAATTCATATCCGGATCCATTTATAATCGAATTATCGGATTTAGAAGTCAAATCCATCTCCTATTTTAGTTACGTTGGATTCGGATTGAATTCGGATCAAAATCCGATCCATTCACTTGATTCTTGATGCTCTTGTTTTAGTCTGGGAAAAACAATTTCAACTTTTGAGGTAGAAAGTGTCTTTATCCAAGTATTCTGTTCATATAGTCTTTTTAATAGATTGTAAAGTTGTAAGCTAGTAATACCTGAATAAGAAAACAGTTTAGTTTTTCCATCACATCATTTCCATCTGATCAAGCACTTAAAAATTTGTGCTAAGACCAAAATGATAGCGTCACCAAACAGATCTAAAGTGGCTAAAAATGTGGACAGGATTTAGTTACATTAATGGTCAAACTGCAATCATTCTTATTCTTATAGAAAACATGATATTTGTATTTGATATGAAGAATTGTATACATTCTTGTATAGAGGAATTTACAACTCAGATGCTTGTATAAAAAATCTATAAGTTTTCAACAGGGAAACCAGTAACGGGTCTTATCTCTGTAGCCAAAGAGCGCAATTCAGATACTTCTTCAGTGTCGAGCTTCCATCCAAGTGCACCGGCAAATTCTGCAGCCTGTTCTGCATTTTTGGCTCCTGGGATCGGCACAACATTATCCTGGGCTATCAACCAGTTTAGGACAACCTGTGCAGAGGAACCCATCTCACATTAAATCCCAGCGAGTTAGAAATTAGAATGCCCCAATATGAATTTCTGCATTCAAGAAATCTTGTCCAAGATATCAATATGTGGGTTTATGATCTTATATGATGGAGAGCATGAAACTACAGAGAGTTGGTCTACATATACTAAAAACAGTGAAACAAAGAGCTCTGTCTTTCATGCAATTTGGTATCTATCAAGAGTTTGATAATTGTATCCACGTCTAACATGACTTAGCTGATAAAATATAGGTATTGCTGGTTACTGTTCATCCATGCTTCCACGGAAATGACAAAATTGAGGACTTCTAATTGAAAAAGATACAATAGTTAAAGAGCATTAACAAACCTGTGTGTTTGTTTTACTGTACTTTTCTCCTATTTCCTTGATCCGGTTCAGTAGAGGCTGGAGCTGCATTTCAAAATGATATTTCAGCAATAAAATTGGAACTTACTGTGTAACTGGCTTTCGAAGTATTGACTATGCTTTACCCTTGTCAGAAATTCAGGAGTATAAATCTGTCTTCGAGGACCGGTGGGAGGATTTTCAGGTGTGTACTTTCCTGTAAGAGCACCTGCATATGTATAAATAGTAGAAATTTCAATATTCTCAATCTCTTTCACACCTGGATCAGACAGAAAAACTTGGCTTCTGTGGAAACCAACCTATTAAGATCTGAGATTAAAGGTTCTAACCATTGTAACCAGGGTTGTGCAGAGATTACAAGTGATAATATAAGATCTCAACAGACATCTTTTATCAAGAATTCACATATTTTTTGTTTCAGACTAACTGCATGCCCTTTCTATTACTAAAAACTGTCCAATTTCTTACTTAATAAAAACTGTGCATTCTAAAAAAAATTCAAAAAAAAAAGAACAGAAAAGAAGAAAACTGTGCAATCGGCTGATAACCCAGCTGTTTTTCTCTTGTTGTAAGGTATTGGTTTGGTGAAATATGAGTTTAAATGTAGAAAAGCAGATAGACAAACACCTCCTCTTTCTTAGATATTTCACTTTAAAGGTTTTACCAAGCAAGATTAACACTTGTCCAGAAATAGTTGAATTCAAGAATAAGCAAGACACAGTAGGATGTTAAAAAATGCATGTGAAAGAGAGAATTTTACTTCTTCACTGTTTCTTTTAGGAGCCAGAACTAGTCTATCACACAATATAGAAGAAATAAGCTCATAATGTTGAAGTTAAGAACTGCTTGAAAAAGGAATGCTCAAAATTCATAATCAGGGGATCAGTGACAAAAGTGAGCAAGCCGGCTTTCTCCTAACTCAGCAATGATTTTGTTTCCATTGTTTATACCATTCTTAAGTTAAAACAAAAGATAACAATAGGATGAACTTAAGCCCCAATTTCTGAAGATTGCTCAGAGAGGTCTTGAATACTGTAAATTGAAAAAATATTATACCTTCTAAAAATGATTTTATTAATTCCTAAGCTAAGATATTGAGTGAAAATGAAAATAGATTAAGAAAAAACAAGGTTCCAACTTCACCTTGAGCAATAGGCGAATAGGCAATCAAAGTGATCCCAAGTTCATCACAGGTAGACTTTACTCCTTTCTCCTCTGGTGCCCTGTATATGAGGCTGTAATTCACTTGGTTTGATGCTAGTGGGATACCTCTCTTTTGAAGTTTCTTGTGTGCCTCACGCAATCGCCTTTCTGCAATAAAGATCTTTGTGCATCATGTTCAGATTAGTTGAGGAGGGGATCCATTTTTGTAAATTACTTTCTCGACGTGCCAATACATTCTATACTTACATAAAACAAAGAAGAAAAAGAAAAGAAAGATAAAGGACATGTTTCGAACAGCTGACCATAATTAGATAAAAGGATAGATTTGTACCGCTATAGTTTGAAACACCAACAGCCTTCACAAGGCCTTGTTCAACAGCATCTCCAAGACCATCAAGATACCCTGAAATATGATTTTTCCAGAGACGCCTCTTTAGAAACAAAAGGTGATTATTATATATAGCCATCTATTTACATTAGCTAGACAGAGAATTATTCTATGAAAAAATGGTGTTATATATAAATAACCTTCATTTCCCCATATTCCAGGCCTGAAAATCAACACAAAACACTTGATTAGTTATTGTAGTTACATTAGCAGAATGACACTCTGACTTAAAGGACATACCAATGGAGTTGATACAGTTCTACTGAAGAAACTCCAAGGCGACCGAGGGAATCCTTAAGGGCAGCAATGACACTCTGACGACCCAGCCTCCATGGCAGAGCTGCAAATTTGGTTGCAATAGCAACCTCCAATCCTGGATCCTTTTCTTTCCTTTCCTTGACAAATCTGTATAAAATTCAGTGGAAGTTATATAACTAATGTTCTCAAAATACAGAAATTAACCATGATTAGCCTTGCTCTTTGTAGACTAGAAAGTAGAATGAGCCACTATAAAATATATATATATATCCCAGTACGTACCTTCCTAGAAGAGTTTCAGAATTTATAGCACCAAAAGAAGCCTGCAAAAATGAACAGTAAAATGTTTGTTTACACTGATAGAACTTTATGGCATCTGTTTGAGAGGAACAAAGGAAATATGAGGCGCT